AACAGAGAGAGGGGACAGAGAGCAGGAACAGGGGGAGAGAGAGAGAGGGCAGGGGCCTATCTTTTAAAGGGGTCCTCTGCACCTGCGTACAGACTTCTTTCCCATGGAACCTTGGGCTGACCAGGGTATTGCCTGAGTGGATTCCACCAGGTAACAGGGGCAGGCCATCATAATGCCTGAACCTTTCAGAACTGTTACAAAACTTATGACTTTTGAAAGATATCCTAGACTGTAAAAGAGACTTTAACATTTTAATATTATGTTTTTTACATTAAAAAAGTGAGATCAAAGTGTGGAAGTTTTTCATTTAACAATCATTGTGATTTTATGTCAATTGGAAAAGAAATATAGGGTGAGCATTGGCTTACTTTTCAAACTGTATTAACATATAGAATCTGGGGAAGAGAGCTTCACTGGAGAGTTATCTCTGCTGCCTAACCTGTGGCAGTATGTGGGTGGAAGAGTAGTCCTAAGTTACGTCTTGTAGAGAGATGCTGCCAGTGTGATTGGAACCATTTTCTAATCAGCAGTCCTGAACTTTATAAGAGTGGAGAAACGGAGCTAAGAGCAAACCAAGAAGCAAGTGTGCATGCGTGCATTCAAGTAGCTATGCTCCTGACTATAGATGGAACATCAATAGCTGCTGAAGTTCCTGCCTTGACTTTCCCACAATAACAAAAGGTAACCTAGAAGTGCTGGCTGAAACAAACCCTGTCTTCCCGAAGTTGCATCTGTCAGGTTCTTTCATCTCAATGATAGGAATTAAACTATAACAGCATGTTACAGTGTTCAAAATTAACAGTATGAGAAATTGGTGCCATTAATTGTTTCTCTTCCTCTTTTTTCTAACAGAATGAAAAATTACAATGGATTCTTCATAATCTAACAAGGCAAGGAAAATATTGGGGAATATCTTTTTCATTTCAAGATGATGTCAATTTACTGTATTGCTAATGTAGAGTAAAAATATATGAAGATAAGACATTGCTTATATAAGCCAACTTCTTTTCTGTATCAGCATGTAGATTTGGATATAATGTTACTCATCTAATAATAAGGCTCATTGGGTAAAGCAGCTGTTGTTGAGTCTGATGTTTTGAGTTCTATCCCCAAAAGCTAAATAGGGAGAAATGAGAACCAACTTCTACAAGTTGTCATCTGAATTTCACATTGTGTTTTGGCACGTATGCACACACACACACAAGGAAATAAAATATAGTTTCATTTTCCTTTCGTTTCCGTTTCCTTTCCTTTACATTTTCTTTTTCTTTAGATTTCACCTTTACTGGTAATGAACATTTCTGATAATCACTGTATCACAAACTTGCTATAATCTAGAATCAATCTAGAGATCAGTATTATTTCTGTTCCTTATTATTATATCTATACTACACAAAACACTCTGAACAAATAAAATACATTACTGAAACTAGTGAGCATGGTAATCCAGGAATTTTAATACATTTATATTACTGATACAACAGAATTTATAACCAAAATTTGTAAGACCTATTATATTGATTTCTACTTTTAAAATACCATTTAACTTTTCAATGTGAATGATCTTCTTCAAAAGAAATCTAAACAATATCTAAGAAATGGACATTTGTAATTCTAATCACTTCCCTTTAATGTGATATATGAAGCATAAATGAAAAGAAGACTATTGTACTACCATGAGTAACCTTGAACTAGCATTCTTAATAATGAATTATTCTTAGAGTAATGATAATATCAAAATTAAACAGTGTCCTTTGCAATGATACATATGATCAGGCTAATTATACTATATTTGTTCTAATTAGAAAATAAATTATACTATGACAGGAATTAAAATATTAAAGAACAAAAGAACATTAAAGTCTTGCTAGAAAAAAATTCCCTCAGAGGAAGGAATGAATTATTAGATTATGATATTTTGACAATATTTGCCTGCATTCAATTTTATCTGATTTATGATGATCACCAAACAGACCTGTACTACTTAATAAAGCCAATTAAGAATATAAGTAGGGTTTGAATAAGTGTCTGAAAGAAAGATGCAACATTTCAGAAAATGGTCAATTTAAAAGTAACTCAAGTAAATTACTTTACTTTATTTGCCACTTCACAGGATCAGAAGTGGCCAAATATATAATTAGTGATTAAAAGGACAACTGCCCACTTAAACACGAAGAATAAGGAAGTAAGTATCAAGTTTGTTAAAACATGCTCTGAATTGAACTGGGTATGAAAATGAACTTATGCAGGCTACACGTCTACCCTGAACTAATTACCCATGTCATTTCCATAATTATGCACCATATTCATTTCATAGAGTAACACTCAAGATGGAAATAGCATAATTTAGCATCCCGCTTCAATAAACTGTAGAGTTGAAAATATGCATGAATAATTTTAGGGTATATGACTTTTTGGATGAGTAGTGTCACAAATTATCTGGGAAGTAAACATTAGTAATAGGAAATCAGTTATTTTAAACAACCTTGAACTCATGATTTTACATAAGCCTTTATTTAAACTCAAACCACATAAATATGATGAATAAAAATACTTCTTTTTTTAAATCTGTGATTATATAGATAAAGCATTGGTTTAATTTTACCCTATAAAGGAGATATGGATTTAATGTAAACATTATTGACTTATTTCAGGAAGAATGATGCTTGTTGATAGAGCAAATCTTTTAGAAAAATGTTTTAGGTATTAAAAGTGAATTCACATGAAGTAGAAAAAGGTATTTTATTGAATATAGATTTTTTTCTCACATTACATATCCTGATTATGGTTTCCTTAACTTTTATATTCCTTTTTGTGACTCTCATTAGAACACAGGCAGAATTCTAGGGAAAATAACACAATAAAATATAATAATAATATAATAAAATACTAACACATGAGGACTGGACAAAACAAAATAACAGAATATAAACAGCTCAAACTAATTAGCAAGATTCAGAGACCCATTAATTTGCATACAAAAGGAGTCTATAAAAACACTAAACTGGAAGACATAATAGGGGGTACAGTACACACCCATGAAGACCTAGAGTGTCCTGCCTTAGTCTCTGTAATTTCACAAGAGGTTTGATCATGCTGACTTAGAGAGCCTTGTTTTCTTGATGTCTTCTATCCCCTATTCCTCTTACATTCTTCATTTCTCCTATTCCTTAGGGTTCCTTGATCCCAGAGGAAAGGCCTTTGATGGAGATATCCCACTGAGGGTTGAGTTTTCCAAAGTTCTCACTCTGCATATTCTCTAGCTGTGGGTCTATGCATTTGTTTTCATATGTTGCAGGAAAAAGCTTCTCTAATGATGGCTCAGAAATGCACTGAAATCTCAGTATACCAGAATGTCCTATGGTATCAACCTTAAGTCAAATAAGACGTTGGTTGTTTGTTTCTACTAGCTTTGTGCCACCTAGCATAACTTGCACAGGGGGTGCCACTGAAAATCAAAAGTTTTGTCTACGTCTTGGTGTTTACATTTTATTTTTAGTAGTTTACAGAGTATCTTCCTTTACCAAAGATGATAGAATGTAAAGGTGAAGTCTTTACCTATCCATCAGCTTAATTTTCAACAAATAATGAATTGTATATTTGTTGCCTTCACAAATGGAACCATGGCATCACTTTGTTGAGAGCCACTAATAGTCAGAAATGAACTGGCTTGTTTGGAATCTCAAGAGGTCACTTTGGCCAATAACTCAGGTAGATGTAATCCAATCCTTGTACAATCAACTTCAATCAGTGAAAGAGATGGCCAGTTGTGGCTCCCTCTCCCCTTTATTTGGGTATTTCAGATCCCTGTGTTTTAGTTGTCTCAACCCTTATTTTCTCCTTTATCTCCATTTTGTCTTCTGTTCCCCACTTGACCCTTCCATTTCCACCCCACAATCCATTTATAACTATTTACTATATTTCCCATTCCTAACAAGATCTGCCCTGTCCCTCAAGTCCCTTAATCTATACCTAACAAATATGGTTCTGGAAAATGTAGCATGATTATCATTGACTTAAGAGCTAGTACCCACATATCAGAGAATATATACAATATTTGTCTTTCTGGATATAGGATTCCTCACACTTTTTTCTTGGTTCCAACTACTAACCTGTAAATTTCATGATTTCGTTTTTGTTTAAACATTGGAATAATGTACCATAATTTCTTTATCCATTTTTCTATTAAGGGATACATAGGCTATTTTTAATTTCAAGTTATTATGAGTACAACAGCAAGGAACATGTTTGAATCAGTGTCTCTATTTTAGAACGAAGTGTCTTTTAGGTGTATGCCCAAAAGTGGTGTGGCTTGTTCTTGAGGTAGATAAATTCCCATCTTCCTGAGAACTGCTACACTTATTTTCCTAGTGACCAAAGTTTGCCCTCAAACCAACAATGGACAAGTGTGCTTCTTTTTCCACATTCTCCCCGTTATGATCTCTCACTTGTTTTAGTAATCTTAGTCACATTGATTGGCATGAGAAAAAAAAATCAAAATAGTTTTGACTTGCATTACCCCAATGACAAAGAATGTTGAACATTTAAGTGTTTCTCAGCCATTTGAGAAACCAGTTCACTTTTGAGAGCTCTCCTTTTAGATCACATTTTTATTCAGTTATTTGATTCCATGATTCTTAGGTTTTTTTTATGACTTTCTGTATTTTAGATGATAACCATCTGTCAGATATATTGTTGCTAAAAACCTTTTCCTATTCTGAAGGTTGGCACATTTTTAAACATTTTAAACTCATGTTATTTCAACTTTTAATAATACTTTTGTCATGTTTTGTTGGTATCTCTTTGAAACCTGTTATTTTGTAATGAGAGAAAGAAAGGGAGTGGCTGAAGATATGAGGGGTGGTGGGGAAGTACTAGGAGGAGTACTTTGGCCTACAGAAACTTTTCAATTCATTAAGGTTCCATTTGTTAATTGTTGATCTTACAGCCTCCACTATCAGTGTACTGTTCAAAACGTCATTTCCTGTGAATATGTTCCAGGCTATTACTCAGTTTCTGTCCTACCATGTTCAGTACATCTGTTTTATGTTAAGGTCTTTGATCCTCTTGGATTTGTGTTTTGTTCAGGGTGATGAATACGGATCCACTTGCATCTTCTACATGCAGCCATCCAGTTTGCCATGTGTCATTTGTTGAAGATGGGTTTTTTGTATCTATTTATGGCTTGTTTATAAAAAAAATTAGGTGTCTGTAAGTAAGGATTTATATCTGGGTCTTCAGTTGAAGGCCAATGATCTATTTATCAGTTTTTGAAACAAAACCCATCCTGTTTCTTATTTCTATACATATATACTATAAACTGAAGCCATGTTTTGTGACATCTGCAACAATGCCTTTATTATTCAGTATAGTTTCAGCAACATTTTTCTATTGTTAGTTTTTTCATGTGAAGGAAAATCAGAAATACTACCACCAGTTAAATAGCTATGACATTTAATAATTTTACTTAATGGTATAACTACTAAATGCTGACCATCAGTCCAGAGCAAGTCACACTCTTTGGAGTGGTAGAGAGAGTAACATCAACTATACTGAATAGGGAAAAAATAAGAAATCTCACAATTGAATAAATGAGAAGTGAACATAAAGAGAGTAGGGTTGGGTATAAATGTTATCAAGATGAATTGTTTGAAACCTTTTAAGATATCATTTCTTTCACTTAAATTATTTTCTCATACATTATGTCTTGCCTACACTTTCTCGTCTCTCTACTCCTCCCAGTACTTCCCCCCCACCCCTCATATCTGCAGCCACTCCCGTTCTTTCTCTCATTACAAAATAACAGGCTTCAAAGAGATACCAACAAAACATGACAAAAGTATTATTAAAAGTTGAAATAACATGAGTTTAAAATGTGGCAAAAATCAATGGGAAAGTAACCTTGTGAATTTATAGGGAAACAAATATATAAAACCCCTTTTCCCATGACTTTAGCTATTGTGACATCTCCAGTGTTAAGCTCTCAAGAAATGGAATCTGCTAAATCAGTTAAAGTCTGTATCTTAACTAAGACTAACCTCCTGAGATGTTAGTAATACAGGCACTGTGTGCTTCAGCAGTCCACTCAATTCTTTAATTCCATGTAGAGGGGATTGTTTGATTTTAAGGAGCATTGGAATTCTGAAATGGAATCCTACCCAAGAGAAGAAAGACCTGTTTCATTCATTTTGAATTACTTTTCTTGTCAAATACACATGAATAATATACATGCGATTCTAATGTGTAAAATAATTTCATATCTCATTTTAACTAAGTTAAACTTTGTGAATTAACCAAGACAATATCAATAAAAGTATTGGATCCATGGATACATAAATTATGGAGACATCACTCCATGTGTAGGTAGGAGAAGAGCATTCTTCATCACACAAATTATTTCACCAACTCTATAGAATTTTAAAGTACATTATAAAAGAAGTAAGATTTGGAATATTAGGAAATTTGGAATATGCAAGATAAAGAAAACCAAGAATGATAAGGAAAGCAGAGTCCTGATTTTTTTCTACAATTTTGATTTTTACTATGAAAAATTTAGAAAATAGCAAATTATCAAAACAAGTTCAAACAATTATATTATGTGCTATGTACAGAGAGAGAGAGAGAGAGAGAGAGAGAGAGAGAGACAGACAGACAGACAGACACAGACAAAGACACAGACACAGACACAGAGACACAAGCACACAGAGAGAGGAGGGAGGAGAAGTCAAGACTGCAAAATCAAGGAACTAGTTATATCACATGCACTGTAAAAATCAGAGAAAATAAAAAATACATGTTCTATCTTACTTGTTTTTCTTGTGTTTCTCTTGGTTTCTCCATTCTCATAGGATTCAAGACCTGACTTTACTCTCTCCCCACCCACTTAGGGAATATTGCTATTCATGCTATTCTGAGTATTCCAAAATCAATAAACTCAATTAAGACAATCACCCATAGAAGCAACAAGAGGAAATTTCAGGTAGACAATCCTTCAACATTAATTTAATCCCAGAACATTCTAGCTTGTATGAAGATAATTATTAAAGTTAGAAATCACATCAAACACCTTTCTTATCATTTTAATATATGTCTAATCCTACTATTCTGCTAAAGAACATGTCAATAATATGTCCTTATGATATATTGCTATACCTATAGATCCGTGCATCACTCAAAACTCATCAGTGAAATTTCTTTCTGTAGACAGGAAATCACACAGAAACACATATCTGGGTAGATAATGTGTAGAGAATGAGGAACTTTGAAATAGTCAATCATAAATGGGATGTTTTTACACAAACCCTCCACTCAAGGACCAGGGATCAATGTAGAAAAGATTCAAAAAGATTTAAGAGCCAGAATTTGTGTATGACTCTAAGGAAACATCATCCAAATACAATAAGACTGATAGACATGAATTCTCAGAGACAAGGCAGTATGCACAAGACCTGCACAGGTTCAGACTATACAAAATTCTACCATTGAATAAGGAAAGTAGACACAAATTCCCATCACTCACCAAGGAAATATTGGTAGTTGATACTGATGGTAAGGAGGGAGGTAGTTTTTTTTTTTTTCCTATGTACTATTACTGAACATATCAACCACAATCCAAGGTAGGCTCCATAACCAATCATAGCCAACACAAAAAAGGAATCCATCTTTTCTTTTGTTTTTATTAGCTTTGTTTGCTTGTTTGTCTTTGACTTTCATCTTTATTTTTTGTTTCTTTTTGGACAGAGGAAGAGAGAAAGACAGAAGGAAGGAAAGAAGAAAGGAAGAGAAGTAAGAGAAGGGAAAGCAAAGTTGGGTGATTAGGCATATAGGTAGGATCTAGGAGGAATTTTTGGAGGGAAAACTTATGTAGCTAAGATGCATTAAGATATAGTACCAATTATTAACCCATAGTTGTGTTATTAGTTTAAACAATAACTAATCAAACTTGACTTTGCCCACCTTGCTTTAGTTTTCTTTCATATAATACATCCTATCCACAATTTCTCTCCCTCCTGTCCTCTCATTCCCTCCAACTTACTATCTGTCCCTGATCCTCTCTTCCTCTGTTTCCCTTCAGAAAATAGGATGCCTCCCAGAGATGCTTACCAAAATCGCACTATAAGATAAAATAAGGCTACACCTAGCCATGTTTCTAGGAAACTGTATCTTAAATATTTTTTACTTTGGTGGATGTAAATCCCACTCACAATGTATAGCAGAGTTTAAGATACAGTGAATAAAATACTTGGCAATTTAATGACGGAACATTGCTAAGAAATCTTTGCAAAAAAGATAAAGATATTTTTATATTTTTTTCAAAACTGGAATGTTCAGAAAGGGAAGGTCCTGAACCTCATAGTATAAACAACTTACAGAACTCAGGAAGTATCTGAAACTGACCAAATACACCAGATGCCTTAAGCACAGGTAAGCATTAATGATACTGAGAGATGGTCAGATAAGACACAATGCTTAGTTGAAACTCCGAGTAACTGTAATCTAGAAGAAACAGAGACTAGCCAAGTGATCAAGAAAAAGTAGAGGCTGGTGGTACTACCTGGAATAGACTCAGATATTTGAGCCATGTAAAAGAGGTGGTCTCCAATAAGATCATCTGTCTGTAAAATGTGCAGTGTGCAGGTTTCCAGCTTTTGTATGCTATCACCCATGCAGTACTGAGCTTTTGTGATGAACCTTTCTTTGAGCTATTTCTGCTCCTGTAAGTAACTCCTCATCCTTATTCATATAAGAAACCCCAATATAATTCCTTGGTTCACCAAGTTGGACATTGGAGTTATTCTTATTTTGGTCTATCGTAGGTAATCCAATCTTGGATTAGTAGACATTTTCTCATGTCTCCCCAGAAGTAGTGCCATACAAGTCATGGAAAATATTTTTAAATTAGTTAAATATAAGTAATCAGTAAATATGAATGATGTATTACATAACATACTTAATTATATTTTCAGTGTAAAATGTTTCTAATGTTTGTATTTTTACAAGCATTTGTATATATCAACAGCTATTTTATTTATTACCTTACTCAGGTTAATATGTGTGATTATGCTGAATACTACTTGTTCTATAATATATGTTGAAAAGTATTCACCTTATTTGTATGTATTTCTAATATAAAATATTTTTCTTCTCATTTAAAGGTAAGCAAGAATAAAAAATATTTTTATTTATTATTGTTTCTTTGAGAGAATCCTGAAGCTGGCCCTGATCTCATTCAGTCTAAGCTACCCTTGAACTCAAAATCTTCTTACAAATGTCTCTAGATATTTTGGATTAAATTTGTGTGATACTACTCCCAACACCAAAAATGACTTTAATTGATGGAGTGGTACTTCAGTGGTAGGGATTTTGCCAACATGTAAAAATCCCAAAGTTTGATATTTAGCACTATTAAGTAAGTAGAAATAAATATATTTGTGTCTAATAAAGTTATTTTAATGCTGTTACCATAGCCATATTCTAATGGTTTCTTATAGCATAGTAATCATAATAACCTTAAAAAACTCATCAATGCTATATATATATAGCATTGATACTTTCAAGAATAATTCATATAATCTGTTAATTAGCAACATTTTGCAACTACAATGTATTACATGCTTTATTATACCTACAATTTATAACATCTGTTTTAGGGCTATTATTGCCAGTGTTGGAGATATATTAATAGACAGTAAGAAATAAAATGTATTAAACTTCCTAAATAAATTATGTGCTAAATTCTTGTACAAGAACTCTTGAAGGTGTACTCCATTCCAAAGAAAGTATATAAAGACAACTACTTTTGCAACATAGGTGTGTAAATCAACTCAGTTATTTGTTAAGAAAGAAAAATAACTTTATCCTCTAAAATCTTACACTTTTTCTTGTTTTATTTGTATAGAGTAATGTGATTACTGCATTTATTTTATTTTGCTTCAATTTTCATATAACCACAAAAATATCATTAGTTCAATATAAATGAAAAATCATCTTGTAGTCTGGGAGGAGACTATACAAAACACCATAAAATGGATAGCTGATTAGAAAAGAAAAATAAAACCCACTGCTTTGCTTCACACAGTTTTAGGAGTACAAGTGCAAATATTAGCAGATTTGGAGACAGGTGGGTACCTCATTTCTTCCTTATAGACACTGCCTCTGGCTCTATCTCTACATGGGGAAGGGGCAAGCATTTTCTCTAAAGCCACTCAAATAAAGTCATTCCTACTCCAGAGAGCTCAGTTCTCAGGAAGTAGTCATTTATCAAAGCCTCTTGCTCTCAATGTAGTATTTTTGGAATAAGAATATCTGCCTAGAAATTTTATGGAAATTAAGAAAACAACAGAGGAAGTTTCATAGTGAGTACTTCCCTGCTTAAGTGGCATAATAGTCCATTATAATAGATTGCACATGACATGTATGTAATGACTATAAAAAAACACATGTATCAATTAAATTCTGTACAAAGATATGCACAATTTTTCTCTTTTCAAATCATATTAAAAACTTCTGTAACATCTTCAACTGGACTAATGTTGAGTGATAATATTTGCAATGTTTATCTTATCATTGATATTTTCTAATAGTTAAAAAATTTAAATTATTATGTATTAGTAGGAGTTAAAAAAACAACAAAATACTACGTGATTAACTTAAACAACAGGAACCAGTGCTGCTTTTCCGTTTTTCTTCGGCTGTATAAAAATGCTATTTGAATTTTAAACTATAAAAGTTAAAATGCATCTTTCTTGTTCAAACCTACTACCCAGATAGTATTAATTCAATACTTTCAAAATTCTAAGTTATTATATGTCTCAAACTTCATTTCATCTTATTATTATCCTCAAGAACATCTACGCAAAAATCATCCATTTTGGGAGGAAGAGCCAGACAATTTTATAAGAAAACTGGATTATGTGGAAGGAGATGACAAATACTTAGCTGGTTATCTGTTATCTGTTGATCCAGGGTTAAGGAGAATATTAAACTGAATCAGAGGCTACAATCTGAGTCACGAAGGCAATGAGATAACTGGCTTTCTTCAAGAGAAAATTCCTTTATCTATAATTACTTACTACATTTAACTTTCCTAAAGTTTTCCAGCATGAGTCTCTTAATTTTATAAATGACTACATTTTACCTGACTTCAATTTGTTAGAGCTCCCTCTGATAATTCCTTTGAAACAGTTCTTGTCTTTTCTCTTCGGACTCTACACTTCTTCGAAAGTTTTCCTGAGAACTACCATAGTAAATTTACTACCATAGTAAAGCATGTTCACCACCTTATCTAGACTCAGTTATCATGGATGAGAAGACAGAAAAATGTAAAAGCCAAAAGATAGTGTGAAGACTGCAAAATGCTATCTTTTGTTCATGATACTGTCACAAGGAAAGCTTGGAACTGATTCCCTGCACTATGCATGCACAAGATTCAACATGTCAATAGTCACAGATGGGGAAGGGGGTCATAGGTAATTACCCCTTTCTGTGGAACTATTGGATACAGATATATTCTGGAAGAGGTAGGATCAATACCTTAAAATGCACACTCATTGGTGAACACAACACTCCAGAAGATATTTCAAAAGCTGTGGTCACGTAGACAGTCCTGGATGATCCAAGAGGTTCAGAAAACAAATGAAGACAACCACATGGGTAAAGGAATGTAGAGAAGAGGTTGACAGCAGTCAGAGGGAGAAAACAATTAGGGGTAGTGAGTCCAGTCTAGGCAAATTGCAAAATACACATGTCTGTAATTTTCAAAGATCAGATTTAATTGCCAAAATATTTATGTGAAATCTGTTTGATTAATATGAAAGTGAATTTGGATAATGTATCAACTACTTTTATCATAACTGTGGAAAAATAGCTCACAAAAGCAACTAAAAAGAAGAGTAGATTTGTTTAACTCTGGTGGAGGTAAATCCATGGTTGCCTCACCCATATGCCCTAACAATAAAACACTATGGGAGAAATGGATATGGGAGTGGAGTTATTCTTGGTAGGAAAGAAGTTATTTTTGGAGAACAGGATTCAGAGAAAGGGAGAAAAATATAACAGGTAGGGTAAGATACAGTCCTCAAGGGCACATGGTCAGTGTTCAGTGATGTCATTTATCTTCATAAGTGCTTCTTCTCACCTTTTCTCACTGCTCAATAATGGAATCATGTGAATCCATGAAGGCAATTACTCCATTCCCTGGTACAGAACCATTGTGTCCAAATTCCCTAGAGGTGCCGTTACAGATAAACCCAGAAATCGGCGTGACTAATCTTATAAAGTAATCTTACTACAGTGAGGTTGGATATCAAAACTGATTCCCACAGCTAACATATAGCTATCCCCATGCTTTATGTTATCAAAATTTTCAGAAGCAATAGCTACACAATATATATGGAAAATGTTTTCTTATAATTGGAAAACAGCTTCCTAAATATTTTAATTAACATAATATCAAATATGATTATACATTTTGTCAGATCACTAGTTGTTATATTAAGTGAAGATATGTATATGTATAAAACACAAAGTAAACAATGTTATATAAATATTGTCAATCTATACTCTAAATTAGATGTAAGATAAGCATTTAAATATGGCAGTGATGCTACATACATTTAAGCCCAGTACTTGTGAGACAAAGGCAGGCAAATATCTGATTTTGAGGCCTGTCTGGTATACAGAGTGAGTTCCAGGCAAGCCAGAGCTATACAGAAAAACCCCAACTTGAAAAAAAAATTGATATGGGATACCTTTCTGTATGTTGTGAAAATGGGTTGCGCTCAATG